CAGGAATGCAGTGCTGCATTCTTGCATGGGAGGGAGGACAAGGAGGATGCTGGGCTTGAGAGGAGTGCGACCTCAGAGAGAGCTGACATCAGGGTGTCCTCCTGCAGCCTGGTTTACTCTTGAGGTTTATGTGCACCTCTCAAAAAGCACGATAATGAGCTGGAGTCCACAGGCTTGGCATCTGGGCCTTTCCAGACTTATCTCTCAAACCTAATTAACACGACAGAGATCAATAGGGGCTGTGGGTAACAAATGGCTTTACTACATTGGAACTGCTCTGTCATCCTTTTCCCTTTTCTGTCCCAGTATCCATGTGAAATGGGATGGCTCAGGGTGTATCACTGTGCTTGCTGTTGCCAGCTTTTCCATGTGGCTGAGGAGAAATTAACATATTTCCCTAAACACCTCTGGGCACAGGATCATTCCTGAGTGAGAAGGGAAAACTGACCCTACAGCTTGTTACAGCCCTGCAGGTTCCTATCCTCTGTACAAGCTGGCAGGACACATAACCATTGTGCTGGCAGAAGAGATAGAGGCTTTTACCCAGCACTCCTGTGCCATCCAGAGCAGCCCCAGTCCTGCTGGGGGAGCCCGTGGTTGAGCAAGTAACCTGCCCTGGGACTGCTGAATACCCAGGAGGGACTGGATGCCATGCTTCTGTTATCCCCTTCATGTTAGAGCTGTGGAATTCCTGCCAAAGTGAGCTTTTATTTGCTTTTAGAAAAGCTTTACAGAGAGAGGCTTATCATCTTAGAAGCTGATAAGGGACAGAGACAAGTCCAGGAGATGGACCAAACCCATCTCTCTAAACGACTGGGACTTCTATCAGCCTGTTCCAGGCAGCACTATCTGATCTTAATGGACTTAAAGAAGCAAGGACTGGGGCCAGCATAGCCTCCCAGCCACTCTATCTTGCAGGCGTAAGTGAAGAGGCAGGTACAAGCTGCAGTCTCTGATGCTAAAATCTCTTCCTCTCCTTGTCAAGAATAGCAAAACAACTTCTGTATCACCTTGTGTGCTACAGCACTTAAATTTTCACTACTAAAATTTTCAGGATTTATGTACAGCAGTTTCAACAGTGCTGTTGTATATGTATGTGACGTGTCAAGCCATGTGGTAAACAGGAGTGTTGTATTAAAATTACAGCTGCAGTCAGTACAATGAAGGAAAGACCTTAGAGGTGGAAAAAGGATTTGGGGGGGGGGATTGTTCTCTTTTCTTTGTGTCCAGTGTTACTGGTATTTTATACAAGGCTTCCTGTTAGTGAGGTGTGTAGACCAATGCTGACTAGTACCAAGTATGGTTTTTCTTTGTTGAGATGGGAGCTGAAGGAGGTGGCAATGAGGGGTAGTTTTGCTTACTTGCTTTTTAAAAGCTTTTTTAAAGTATTTGCTGTGTCTGCCTGGTAAGTAACTGGAGTACTCTGGGAAGATGGCTGCAAGGTAGCTCTGAGTCCCCTTGAATACCTGCTGTAAGGCTGGCCTCTGACAGTCCTTCATCTGCTGTACAGACACAAGTGCAGACTCTCATTTGGTTGTAAATTTCCATAAGAAAAATTTCACCTCTATTTTCCCCTTCTTTTTTGTGTTAGACATCAGAAAGCAAAAGCCAAAGCTTGGAAGCCCAGGCCATTCTTCAGGAGCAGAAGGTTATTTTGTGAGAGGTTCTTTTTCTTCCCTTTTTTTTTTTTTTTTTCTTTTTCATCTGCTCCTTTTATGTCTAAGGAACAAGCTCTTCGCCTTGACACTTACATCACCTGTCAAAACATTTTCCTGGGCAAGACCAAAGAGTAGAGGGACTGATCAAGTTAATGTGCTCAGCTGGCATAGCTGCTGAAGTCTGAAACACCCATCGGCTCATTTTATTAAAGAGACTTGAGGAGACTCTGGGGAAAAAAAAATCTTTCACTGGCTGAGTTGTTTGGCTTTGATAATTGGTAAGCAGTGTTACAAAACATTGTCTTGGAAAGCTCCACAAAGCTCTTTCAAAACAATGTGCTGTTTGGGCTGTCTCTTGTTCACCCCCCTGGGTGGAGAGCAAGTCCTGTTTCTTTGGGGCAGGTAAGGTTTCCCCTTCCTTTTGTCTTTTTGCCCTATGAAAGAAGCTGGGTGTGAGCAAGAGACGCCAGACCTTCTGAGGAAGGCATTTGGGTTTGGTCCTCCTCCTTCTCACCTTTTCAGAGAATCCCATTAATATATAGAGGATGAAACGTGTCAAATACCTGTCTCTGTCAACTTGCTTATGGCACGTTGGACCATCGTGCTGCCTGATGACAGAGTGGAAATTTGGGTAGGGCTTGCTTGTTTAATAATAATAAAAACCTGAATCTGCTAAACTGACAGTAAAATTACCACGGTAAGATGATATTTCCCTTCTGTAAGTGGCTTCTTGCTTATAAAGCAAGAATTCTGCATTTCTGGCTAAGGTGTTTGGTAAACTTTAGCTCAGCATCTCTTGAATCAAGGTGTAGCTGACCTTCCTTCATAGTGTCTGGGATACCACAAGTAATTAAGATACTTGGTGCCCTCTCTTCTCCCTGTCCTATCTATTCCCTGGTCAGCTTTGTTTTAAAGTATATTGCTTGGGAACAACGTGTATAGTCATCTCAGTATTTAGTGAGCAAGAATTTTAAATTCTTTAAATCTTAATAATTAAGAACTTTTTAATCTTGTTTTTCAGATAATGAATATGTTTTTATAGACCTGGAGCAGAAGCTTAGCAAATACTTTTCAAAGGAATGGAAGAAAGAGACCACCAAAGTAAGACAGATGGTTAATTTTGGAGGCTACTGCTTTGGTATTCTACTGCACAGTGAAATAAAAGATCCTAATCAAAGATCCATAAAGTTTTCTTGAAGATGGTCTGCAGAATACTGTTAAATAGCAAGATGCTGTGACTTGTGCACAGCTGTACAACTAATTGAAAGAGCTAAAACAGCCCCTTACAGAACTTTACCTGAGCAGTAGCAGCCACATGGTTGCTGCTGAGCTGGAGAAGGTCAGTTGGTCAGGCTTCCTTTTGAACTTAGTCAAGCCTGTAGAGAGTCTGGAGGCCTCATTGTTATCCTTAAGCAGAACAGCCTAAAATGACCATATGTCACTTAAACCTGGAGAGTGCTGGAAGTGACTCTTCCAGAGTACATGTGAAAGGACAGTGGAGCAGGAGGAAGGATATTTTGTTAGAGTCTTAGTTCTTTAAAGCTAGCCACCCTGCCAAGGGAGGGAGAAGCTTCCTGAAATCAAGACAAGCCTATATAATTGGTTAGTGCTGGTCATTGAGACATGACAATGCCTGTTTGTGTGTGTCATTATTAGAGGAGCCACAATCTAGAACAAAGTGTAGTATGCAATTACTTTCAGATATCTTAATTAGCTCATTATGACTTTTTCCACCTTCCTTAAGGGTTTTCTTTTGCAGAGTAGGCACACTTGCTGTTTCTGCTGCTTAGAGAATTTTGCACATGACTAGTGAGGTTCAGGGATTTCTCTTATCCCCTACTGCTTCTCCCAGATAAGTGAAGGTTGCTTCAAAAACAGCTGCCAGTTGTGCAGAGAGGGTTGTGTGTCCAGACAGTGAGGGTTTCCTAGAACAGGTATTTCTGGTCACCTTGGGTATGGTGTATGCTTTATGGTCACTTCGAGGCTGGATTCTTGCAACACTTTTGAAGTCAGGATAAGTGTTGAACCTCTGGTGTCAGGTGAATCATAAAAGGATGAATGAGTTGCCATTGGTAGTACTGAAGTCTGAGACAAGTTAGGCTATTGGAGTGAGTTAGCAGACAGGGATTTCATTTCTTTGAAGACATTTCAGGCAGAAAGCCAGAAAGTTCAGCTGACAAAATAGGGTCACTACGAACAAGTTCCAGAAATCAAATGTAAATATTTGCATGATGATCAAGAAGTTGTTGTCTGCATCAGATGTGCGTGGCATGACATGTACATCCCAATGAGATGGGTCTGGCTAGCAAAGTCTAGGAATTACCCATGTGAGTGAAGTTACCTGTATGAACATTAAAGAAACGAGAGGCAAAGCAGGAAAGATGAGAGAATGGGCTAGTAAGATAATGTATTCTTTTCCCCCCTTCTATTTTTCTTTTTTTTTTTTTAAGTTTTTCTCTTGTTTAAACAAGCCTGGAAGCCTGAAAGGTAGGCTGGAGTTAAAACAAGAACAACAGAGCTCTTGCTGGCTTTCCTCTAACCAATATCTTCAGCATGAAGGAGACATCAATGTCTCCTCTTGGTCTGTGGCTGCAGGAAGGTGTGAATAACTAAATATTAGCCCTGCCAAACAAAAGGTGAGGAGTTAACATCAGGCTGGTGTGCTTCAGCCGTGGGCAGTAAATGCTGAATGCATCAGAGATAGCTGGTTACTCCTGGGAGTGCCCTGGCAGGGCTGCAGTGGTGCCAGCCTGGCATGCTGCCCTGCCTTGCCTGGTGCTTTGAGGGAGGTTGCCTTAAACTTGCTGTGTTCAGCTCTTACAGCTCTTACTCATCGCGGTGTTGCCAGGTGCTGAGCTAGGTAACTCTGGGCCAGGCTGGGCATCCCCAGGGATGTACTGGGACTCTCTTATACCTCCTCATTCCCCTTTCCCTCCCCCTCCAAAGTCTTCTGTTTTCCCTAGGATGTTTTGCCTTTCAGCCTGTTTAAATGTTTTATGATGCCTTATTGTTGTGAGCCTCCAAGACAGTCAGATCCTCTCCAGAACTTGCCAGGAGCTAAGAGTAGAAAATGAAAAGCAGTATGGGGAGCGAGCTTGGAGGAAGAGAATGTTACCAGACAGCTAACAGGAATGTTATTTAACACGTCTTCTGTCTCTTCTCTAGGGAACAGAGAAATTCAGCCCTCCTTTTGTTGCATTCTTTAGAGTACAATACTACGTAGAAAATGGAAGAGTAATAAGGTAAGTTCCCTTCTGTGGTAGTTAATGTATTTTAAATTATACACTGTGTTTTTAAAAGGGAAGAAAAGTAATGTTTCTTCATTAAGCTCATCTCTGAGCTCACAGAAATAAGCTTTAAAAATCCACTTGATTTTTTTTTAAGTACCTTCACAGACTTCCTCATCTAGCCATAAATGTTTTCCTCCTGAATCATACTCCTTATCCCTAGGAAAATTGTGACTGCTTTTCCATCTGTGTTTAGAAAGCAGTATCAAAATACATTTAACACTCTCTTGCTTCTTGTGTCTTGGTTGCATGTAAAGCATCAGATGAATATACCAAAACCAGCTATTTATACTCCAGAGCCCATGCAAATACTTTTGGATCTGTTTTTTGTATCTGAGCAGTGCTCTGTGCAGTTTATTTCTGGAAATAGACTTTTGTAAATGAACAAAAGAAATTACTTCAGAAGTTAAAGAGTTTTGCATTTGTAGTCCATTCACATGGAATATGGGCTGCACTCAACACACCACCACCCTTACCCACAGTACAGAACAAAGGATGAGGTAGTTAAAAATGAACAACTGACAGAGTTAATTTGCATCAGTACTTCTGGCGTGGCTGTGACCCCAGGGCAAGCCAAGAGCTGGGATCATTTGGGTGGATTAAAATCTTTACCAAATTGTTGGCATTTGTTCTCATCTTGAACAAAGCTTGGTGGTTTTTTTGTTTTTCTCTTGCCATAGTCTTTAGTTTTGGATACAGAAAATTCTTTCTTCTGGAGTCTGTTTTGGCTGTTCAGTGTTCTTTATTTAGTTTTGCTTTTAGGTACAAAGAAAGATTGCATATCATTCTACCACCCCAACTCACCTATCCTTTAGCATCACAAGAAACTTTCTCTTACTCTAGTTGTGAGAGGAGAGGTTTGTGAAGCCATGAGGAGGTAGTTACACAGCCCCTGCAAACTGTACACACGCACACACACTTTTACAAGCAGTCTAGCACCTCATCTATTATGTACACGTCAGCAGCCTGCTTCCCATGAGCTCTTCAGCAGGGGGGTGTGTGGGTTATCAGTGCTATGTGATGGTTACACCTTATCAGACTATCCCTGTTAAGCAGGTTGAGGAAGAAGACAAAAACAAGCCCAAGGCTCCTGTGTCTTTTGATCTACCATACAGGGAATTAGCTGTTGAAAAGTACCTTGAGCCTAAGGCAAGGTGAAATGGAAAAGCAGTGCCAGGTTTAGAGGGGAAAGGAGGACAGGTGTGCAAGAAACAGGACTAGGATTCAAGCGAGTTGACTCTCCTGACTGCTACAGGCTTTACAGAGAAACAGAAGTGCTTGATGTAGTCAGTCTCCAAAACAGGTGTGACATGATTTTTCTTTCATCTGCCTCTGCCCTAACTTCTTAGATATCATGCTTCTCAAGATAGAAGCTACCATTTCCCATGTTTGTACAACACTTGGTGGGAGAAGATCTTGATCTTGGCTTGGAGCTCCCTACATATGCATAAACTGTATCAGGGTGGCATTGGCACACATCAAGGATGTCAAAGTTTAAACTCTCCTCTCAGAAAGAAAATGTTTTGAGCGGTCTTATCAGAACCTGAACTTTCTTTTCTTCTTCAAGTAAATTTGCCTTTGTGTCTTGCAGTGATAAGGTGGCACGGCAGCTCTACTACTGCCATCTCAAAGAGCAAGTACTTATGTCTCGGTGCAACCACAAAGAAGAAATCTACTTCTTGCTGGCTGCCTACAGCTTACAGGCAGACTTGGGCAACTACAGAGAGAAGGTCCATTCTGGCAAATATTTTGAACCTCAGGCTTATTTCCCACAATGGGTAAGTTCTGGGGGATTTTTCTATCAACAGACAGTGCACAGAACAGGAGCTATGTCAAAGTACCTAACTGCACCCACACAACTTTCCCAACTCCCACTGCAATGATCAGGCAGAGTGGTAGAGTGTCACCCAGAATTTCCTTCAGGAAATATCTCCTCTGTTTCCACTGAATGCAGGTACCCATTCCTCCTGGGGTCATTCATGAGTGAGGTTGGGTGGTATGTACCCTTCCTTGGTTGAGGGTATGTGTTGGTGTCAAATTAATAACTCTTGACAGTGTAGCTATCTTTGTTAAATTCTTTTATGGCTTAAAGGGGTATGTGTTTGCAGTGGTACATCAGCCAGATCTACACAGCCTAAGCTCTACAGAAAACCTCAGGGCTGTGAAGCCAAGTCCATTGCCCTTTGTTCCTAACTCTGTAATGCTTACTTCTGGGAGGGTTAGACCCAAACGCTAAGGGGTAGTACTTCTGTGCAGTGCTTCTGGTGCTTGTTTTGTCATTAATCTCCGGCTCAGCTGCAGAAGGAGAAAACGGAAAGGCCTGGAAATGGGTTTGCATGTTTGTTTATAAGCATGTGCTCATGGGCTTGTGCCCTTCAGGACTTAAAAACATCTTAGAAATTCAAGAGTTGGTTTAGGTATTGAATGAAGGCAGATTAGCTAAGGCTCTGTCAGAGCTGGTTACCTGTAGAGAATTCTTGTCTTGAGGTGAAATGTCAAGAAAACTGTTGATAAACACTTTAGTGTCCAAAAATATAGAAGGGGAACCTAGTCTCCTACAGACACATCACTGTTTGATGATGTTTGCTGGAGCAGGACCTGGACAGACCCTCCTCTGCAACCTGATTAGTTCTGGAGCCCCCTTCTGTACTGTGACTGGGGATTTTAGGCCAGCTTGTGCCTTGACATAGCTGTTGAAAGACCCAGATGTCTCTGGTAGTTGGCTGCTTGTCCCTAGGTGAGTTTCCTCTCCCTTGAAAGGTGGCACTGGCCCTGCCAGTGGGGAGAAGGTTCAGATCAGTGACAGGCTTGAATCAGGGAGGCAAGGATAGTAGAGCCTCCTTTACGCATGCGTTCCAGCCTGCTTGCCTTGCTGTGCAGAAATGGGCCTTTCTTCCAGACAACAAACCTCCATCCCATGCTGTTCCCTGCTATGAGCACCTGGCAGGAGGTAGCTAACAAAGGGCTGGACAAAGTAGGTCGCAGGCTTGCTGTTTCTGGGGCAGTTAAAAGTCTTATCACAGACTATTGCTCATCGAGCAAACACTGCAAAAGCCAAGGCAAACCCTGGCTCACCTGCACTAAGCCACAACCCCCAGCAAGTATGTGGGTGATTTATTACATCATTACAAAGAGCAACATTTGGCAGGCGTGGAGACGCTTCTCTCCCTGCCCCTGGGCTTCTGTGGGAGATACTGAGCAATCTCCTCCTCCAACGCAATCTCTTTCTCCAACACGTGCTTGAGATCATCTGGCCAAGGGCCACCTCAGGCTTCTGCTAGTAAGGAGAGGCAGTGCTGCCCCCGGGGTGATCAACCAGCTTTGAACTGTGGAGCTGGTGTGTCTCTTTCTGCTGACATTGCACAGTTGATGGCATCGATGTTGTCCTCCACTGAGCCCAGCCTTCCTCGTGGGAGGGCAACTAATCTGGCAAGGCATGCAGAGGAGGGCAGAGATGTTACTGAACAGATTAAATGAGGGGCTTAATTTAAATAGAAGTGGGAACTAGGTGGTGATGGGATCTTTATTTTGAGCCAGGGCAGGTTGTTCCTGGTCGGATGTTCTCCAGCACCTGAAGGGATGTACTTTTAAGTGCCCTTAGCATTAGGGGATTTTGTGACTTGAATTCAGCCAACAACTGTCCTATTTGTCATCGCTACCCACAGCCTGGAAGGGACCAGTCTGCCAGGAGAGAGTGCTGGGCTGCCCTGTAGCCTCGTACAGAGAAGGCACATGGGCAAGCATGGGAAG